AACATTATCTGAAATGTAAGAAAAATATTAGGATATAGCATGCAGCAGAGAGAAATATAGCCATGATTTTGTAATATCTTTAAGTGGAGAATATTCCATTAAAATACTGAATCACTATGTTGTATCTCATACTTCAGTGGAAAAAGAAATAGTGGATTGATAACTACAAACACAAAAAATAATCAAGAATGAAGGTTAGCAAAATAAAAATGGGAAAATTTTAGGAATAGAAATTCCCATCAAGAAATTAATTTGGATGAGATTATTAAAAATGTCCATTGGTTCATCCACTAGAATGAACAACATGGAGGATCTTGAAAAATTGAAACACAGAAGTGCCTCAGGAAGCAGCAATCACATGCCTGGGCATAGAGTCAGGGAGAAGCAACATTTTCAAAGACAGGGGTACCCACGCCATCCCTGCCAGACCGGCTTCCATAGCAAGGACACTGCTGCAACCTAAATGTTCAAGGATACAGAAATGAATAAAGAAAATGGGATATATACATACAATGGTATATTAATCAGCCAGAAGGAAGAATGAAACAATGCCATGTTCAGGCACAGGGAAGAAAGTAGAGATGATCATAGCAAGTGAAGTAAGAGAGACAGGGAGTGACAAATATAAAGCAGATGATCTCAACAAACATCCTAGTGGTGGTCCTCGGAAAAGAATTCAAAACAGGGCCGAGTTACAAGAAGCCAATCTTGAGAGTTAAGTTGAATTCACCCTTGAAAACAAATCACTTGAAAAGAGGTCAATATCACTAAATATTAAAAATGCAAGTTGAAACCCCAGGAAGGTATCACCTCACAGAAGGCAGAATGGCATTGTTAGAAACTCAGCAAACAATAAATGCTGATGAATATATGGAGAAAAGGGGATATTCCTCCCCTGATGCCAGAAATATAAACTGGTAACAGACAGTGTGAAGGATAGTGTGAGGGTTATTAAAATAAAAAAATTGAGAATGAGGTTAGAATATTTCTCTTAACACAACACACGGAGTTAACTTCAAATAATAGAGATCTAAAGTTCAGGAGAGATTCTCTGAGAGTCTTAAGGACAACATAGGCAGGACACGTGATGATAAAAATTGCAACGTCTAAAAAAAAAATTGCAACATCTTTTTCAATCCATCTCACAGAGCAATGAAAAAGAAACCAAAAATAGGAAAATGTGACCTACTTCAATTTAAAAGCTGGTGCCCAGCAAAAGCAATCCAGAATGGAAAGAAATATGTGCAAACCAAGATACCCACAAGGAATTCATCTCCAAAACCAATAAACAGCTCATAATTTTGTAATATTTAAATAGAGTTTAGGGCTTCCCAGGTAGTGTTAGTGGTAAAGAACCCACCTGCTAATGCAGGAGATGTAAGAGATGTGGTCGATCCTGGGGTCAGGACAATCCCATGGAGGAGGGCACTGCAACCCACTCCAGTATTTCTGCCTGCAGAATCCCATGGACAGAGGAGCCTGGCGGGCTACAGACCATAGCGTCACAAAGAGTCAGACAGGACTGAACGACTAAACAGTGGCATATAATACACGTGTTTCCAGGCACACACACATGCAAAAATGGAGTTTATTCCATAAAAATATTGAATCATTATGTTGTAACTGCAAACAAATAGTTATGTTAATCAACTGATTTCAATTTAAAAAAATACTTGATGGATAGCTACAAACACAAAAGAAAATCAGGAAGAAAAAAGTAGCAAAATGAAAGTGGGACATTCTTAACAATAGAAGATCCAATCAAGAAATTAATTTGAATGAGATTACTAAAAATGACAGAAGTTAGATTGACCCTTTTAATTGTTGCTCAGAAAGAACTAATTATTCAAAGCAATTCAATTAATTTACCAATGAAACAAATATGGCCAGAAGGCCAGGATAAACCCACTTTTACCAAGCCCATGTTGTGATAATTAGTACCATTATAAGATATAAATTTTTTTTGACTATTTTCTTTAGAGAATGATTCAAAAGGAGTTCATTCTAAAAATGTATCTCCCATATTTTTATATGTGCTGAGATTTTCCTGTATGAAATATGGAAAACTCCAAATTCCAAGCAGGAAAATGTGTGCCCAGATTTTCTTGTAGGAAATATGGAAAACTCCAAATTCCATACAGGAATATCTCCATCCATGCTTTCCTGTATGAAACATGGCAACTTTAATATTTCCTGTAGGAAAATCTGCGACCATATTTCCTGTATGAAATATGGAAAAATTCTAATCAAAATAATGCTATTTTGAGGAAAATGAAACTACGTATTCTCATACTAAGCCAAATTTCTCAGAAAGACACAGGCAACTACCATATGAAATAATATTTATGTTGGATCTAAATTATGACACAGATGAATTTACCTATGAAACAGAAAGACACTCACAAATATAGAAACTAATTGATGCCTGTGGGGATTTGTCTATGGGAGTTGCCAGACTGGGATAGAGGTTAAGAGATAGTATAAAAACACTACAAATAATGTAAGTAAACTAATAGCATATAGTATGCAGCAGAGGAAAATATAGCTATGACTTTGCAATATATTTAAATGGAGTATATTCCATTAAAATACTGAATCACTATGTTGTAACCCAAAGCAAATATAGTAGTATCAATCAACTGTAGTTCAATTTGAAAAGAAATAATGGATGGATAGTTTCAAACACAAAACATATTCAAGAAGAAACATTAGCAAAATTCAAATGACAAAGTTTTAAAAATAAAGATCCCATCTAGAAATTAATCTGGAGATTATTAAAAATGTCCATGGTTCATCCACTAGAAAAAAACAACATGGAGGTCTCTTAAAACTAAAAATAGAAGTGCGCTTGGAAACAGCAGTCATGTGCCTGGACATACAGTCAGGGAGAAGCAACCTTTTCAAAGACAAGGGTACCCATGCCATCCCTGCTGGACTGGTTTACATAGCAAAGACACTGCTGCAGCCTAAGTGTGTAAGGACACAGAAATGAATAAAGAAGATGGGATAAACACACAATGCTATATTACTCCGCCATAAAAAGCAATGAAGCAATGGCATCTTCAGGCACAGGGAAGAAGGTAGAGATGATCATAGCAGCTCAAGAGAGACAGTACATTACAAATGTCATATGATATCACTTCTAGGTAGAATCTAACAATGGGCATGTTTGAGCTGCTTGAGCAAAGATACACAGTTCACAGACTTAGAGAAAAGAACTTGTTAGCAGAGAAGAAACATATTGGGCCCATAGAAAAGAGCTATTTGAACTAACATATGCATACTACTATTTAGAAAATAAATCACAAGGACCCAGTGAGTAACAAAAGGAATGATACGTCACTCTCTGTAATAACATATACAGGAATAGAATCCAAAATGCAACATGTACACATCTATGTATGAATAAATCAAGTTGCTATGAATTAAAAACAAATACCGACTGAATTGTAATTCACCTATATGCTCAAGTTCAAATAACTGGATAAACAGAATAAATATAGAAACATATGAAGACGCTGTTCCTCTCATCCCATGATTACCTTGGCTGGTATCACATCTCTGGAGATTGGGCAGGCTTGGGGGCTCACGGCTGGATTGTTGTGGGGTTCAGGGTCCTGGGAGGATGTGGCAGCAGGGTGACCCCACGATGTTCCTGGAGTGCCTCTCGCCCTCTGCAGGAGTTCTCAGTCTCTAGATACAGGTGAAGTAAATTAAGAGATTTTAATTAACACAGACACACTTATATGTATCAAACAGATGACTGGGAAAACGACCTACTGAATAGCAGATGGAAGTTTACTGAACAATGTAATCACCTAGGCTAAACCTAGGATCTCACGTTCTCACACTTGGGTCTATATGCTGAGCAAACCTTCAATCAAAAGGCACATGAACCCCATCGAACACTGCAGGACTACTTCCAATAGCCAAGACATACAACCAGAAAAATCTCCACCGAGATTAAAGCTTGAGCAAGATGTCATACATATATACAGTAGACTATTTCTCACTCCTAAAAAAACCACCACTGAAATTGGGGAATTATGACACTGGTAGCCACAGGGATGGACCTTGAAGGATCATGCACCAAGGGAAGTCAGTCAGGCAAAGGAAGTTGATGGAATATGAGATACCTTCCAGGAAAAATAAAAATAGACATAGAAGGCAACAAATTTACAACCCAAAGAGGGACTCTGAGAATTCAAAGTCAAACAAAGGGTTCCATACATAAAAAAAAAAATTGAAGGGTCTGGAATGAATTAGGAGGTAGGTACCTACACAGACAAGAAATCTGTATCTGTAATAGATAATCCACAAGGATTATCCTCTTTCTTCCTACTTTCCTTCCTTCCACATATACACAGATCTATATCTCTAACCTATACAAAGAAATTGTTATCTCTGAGAATTCACAAAAATGATCTACTACCTTCCTTCTTTGTATCACAGAAGTGTATCTGAGATAGTTATTCCACAAGGACCTGATGCTCAGCACTTTGCTTGAACTTCTATGGCAAAGGTTAAAAAAAAAAAAAAGAGATACTCCACAGATACATAATACTGAAACAGGCAGCTGTACACTGACAACAGTCACAACACTGCAAACCAACTATTCTGCAAAGTAGCACAGACAAAAGGTTAAAGCAAAGGAAAGAAAAGGAGTGCCTGCTCTCTTACCTACCTCCCTGACTTGGGATGCAATCCCATCCCTGGAGGCTGAGCAGGCTGGGGTCCCACTCCCAGACTAGGGTGGGGTTGACACAGCCTGGCATGGTGCCCTTTGTTGAACCATTTTTAAAGGCCCACTGTCTGCTACGTTCTGACTGGGACCAGAGTCCCATATGGCATGAAGGCCTTCAGGAATTTGAAGGCAAGATTCAGTTAGCCTCAAACTCTCCTGGTGCTAGGGTTCCCCCAAAGCCTCTTTCCTGAGAGGGCAGCCTCCTAGACACCTAAGTGCCCTCAGCAGTGTGCCCTGGACCTGGAAGGCATTAGTCTGGACAGGATGCTTGTGTGAGGCTTTAGGGGGAAAAAGTAGTGAGTCTCAAGCCCTTTTCTGCTTGCTCAGTCACATTCCACTCTATTTCACAGCCCAGGAAGCCAACTGGCCCTAAGGCTCTGGTTGCCCCAGGTACCAATGTTGGGCAGGCAAAAGTGCTGCCACCTTGTGGACATTTTCTGTTACTACAACTTGATCATGGGCACACACAGGCACCTCAATTCACAAGGGTTGTGGTTCTGTTAATGATAGCTGCCCTCAGGAAATGCCGTGGAGCAGGTGTTGGCTGTCCCAAACCAGCTAATTGTCAGGAAGCCAACTGCCAAAGGTAAATTGTCCTTACACCCTTTAAAGAAAAAACAAAACAAAATCAAACCTTCACTGCAAGACAAGCTGCTTAGAATCCCTAATGGCTGCAGGAATGCCAATCAAAACAACAATGGCGAATTTCGGTGGCGTGAGCATCGTGCATTACTTGAATTCCTGCGTTTTTGCAGGTAAAATATGGCTAAAAGTTTACGGAGCAAGTGGAAAAGGAAGATGCATGCTGAAAAGAGAAAAAAGAATGCCCCAAAGGAGCTCAGCAGACTTAAAAGTATTCTTAAAATAGATGGTGATGTTTTAATGAAAGATGTTCAAGAGATAGCAACTGTGGTGGAACCCAAACATTGTCAAGAGAAAACGCAGTGTGTGGTGAAAGATGAAACAGATGACATGAAGATGGAGACTGATAATAAGAGAAACAAAAAGACTCTTCTGGACCAGCATGGGCAGTACCCCATATGGATGAACAAGAGGCAAAGGAAAAGACTGAAAGCAGAACGTGAGAAAAAGAAGGGGAAAAGCAAAGCAAAAGCCGTGAAGGCAGCCAAGGGGCTGACCTGGTAGACTCTGAAAACTCGGAAAATGCCACACGGGGCGAACTGATCAGAGAGCATACGTGGATTTCAGCTTCCACCAAGTGAAAACTTTATTTCCATTTTTTAAACTTGGCCTTTTTCTTCAATTCAGGCCCAACATAACTCCTCAAATTTAGTAACTTGAATAAAATATTTTATTTGATGAGTGAAAGTACACTGATATTTTAGTTGCATGTTGTCCTCTCTGCGGGGATTATCAGACATCAGGATTCTCTCAAGTGTTAATACAGTTGTAATTGTTTGGTCTTAGAAAAAGTAAAATATGACATCATGCTGACAAATTTGAGCTAACTCAGATTTAAAGTAAACTGTTGTTATCACTTGAAAAATATGTCAGTGGATCATATAATCAGTACTTATTTGGAGTTTTGATTTTGTATAATTCAGAATAAAAGATACATCTAGATCCTGAAAAAAAAAAAAACAACAACAATGGGAAATCAGATCCCACCACTCACAAAGACCACTGTCAAAATTTGACAAACTATAAATACGGGAGACGGCATGGAAGGAAAAGAATCCCCTAAGCTGTAGGTGGAAATATACACTGACTACAACCAGTATGTGGACAGTCTCTGAATGTTCACAAAAAACTATCAAGAGCGCTAAGGTGGAAAAAGTGATGCTATCATGAAGGGTGTGTGTGACGCTTTAAGAGGAAAAAGCACTGAGACACAAGCCCTTCAGTGGTTGCTCAGGCACATTCCACTCTGTTTCACAGCCTGAGAAGCCGACTTTCCCAAAGCCTCTGCTTGCCCCAGGAACCAGAGGTGGGCATCAAAAAGTGCTGCAGCCTTGTGGACATTTCCTGTAACTACAACTGACCACCAGTGCTTACCAGCTCCTCTAATTCACAAGGGCTGGGGGACTGTTCTTGATGGCTGCCCTCTGGAAATGTCCTGTGTTGGGTACTGCAAGATAAATTCCAAACACAAATGACTTTCACAGCTGCCACAGGTCTATTTTCCTCACACCCTCAAAGGGTAAAATACCCAACAAATCCATACCTCCACCTGGGACAGGATGCTCAGCATCCCTAATCATTACAGGAGGAATGCCAATGAAAATGACAAAGAAAAATCAAATCCCACCAGTCAGAATGGCCATACTCATGTCTACAAACAATAAATGCAAGAGTGAGTTTGGAGTAAGGGGAAAACTCCTACACTGTCAGTGGGAATGTACATTGGCAACAAACACAATAAAGGATAATGTTGGCATGCCTGAATAAAAGCCATCAAGACACTAGCTTGACACTAGCTTGATCCTAGGATCTGACATTATCACAGCTGGGCTTATAGAAACATAGAAAATTCTACTTTCATATATGAAATATGCAACTTTATTTTCAGCTATGATATATAGAAATTCTATTTTCATATATGAAATTTGCACCTATCTTTTCATTTATGAAACATGAAATTGTTTTGCATATGAAATATGAACCTATATTTTCACCTATGATATAGGAAATTCTCTATTCATATATGAAATATGCACCTATATGTATATCTGTGAAATATAGAAAATTCTCTTTACACACATTAAATATACACATATATTTTGCTGTGTGAAATGTGAAAAATGCTTTCATATATGAAAAGTGCATCTATATTTTCATCTATGAAATACAAAAAATTCTATTTCTATGTATAATATACACCTATATTTTCATATGAGAAATATGGAAAATTTATATGTTCATATATGAAATATGCACCTATAGTATCATATATGAAGTATAAAAAATCTTATTTTTCTATGAAATATACACCCAAAGCTTCATATATGAAATATCAAAAATTCTGTTTTCATATATGAAATATGTACCCATGTTTTCATACATGACATAAAGTTCTATTTTCATCCTTGAAATATGCACTGATGATTTATACCTGAAATACAAAGAACTCTATTTTCAAACGTGAAATATGCACCCATGTTTTCACATATGAAATATGGAAAATGCCATTTTAATCCATGAAATATATACCCATGTTTTCATACATAAAATTTTGAAAATTCCATTTTCATCCATGAAATATGCACCCATCTTTTTATACATGAAAAGTCACGCATACTTTGGTATAAGAAATACAGAAAACTCTATTTTCATACATGAAATATGCACATGTTTTTCATATATGAAATATAGAAAATTGAATTTTCATTCATTAAATTTTCACCTATGTGTTCATATAGGATATATTGTTGTTTAGTCACCCAGTCATGTCTGACCCTTTGTGACCCTATGGACTGCAGCACACTAGATTTCCCTGTACTTCACCGTCTCCTGGAGCTTGCTCAAACTCGTGTCCATTGAGTCGGTGATACCATCCAACCATATCATCCTCTATATGAATATTAGATGCGATCCAACCATCTCATTCTCTATATGAATATTAGCTGCCATCCATCTCATTCTATGAATATTAGCTGCCATCCAACCATCTCATTCTCTCTATGAATATTAGCTGCGATCCAACCATCTCATTCTCTATATGACTATTAGCTGCCATCCGATCCTCTCCTTCTCTATATGAATATTAGCTGCCATCCGATCCTCTCATTCTCTCTATGAATATTAGCTGCATCCGACAATCTCGTCCTCAGATACGAAACATTCACCTGATGTGGGCTTCCATCCCATTCTTGGAGCCTCTAGCAGGCTGTTTTCACGGCTGGACTGTGGTGGTGTTGAATCGAACAGGCTGGTAGGTCTTTACTAAGGCCCCTCTTAAATCTGTATTTTCTGGTTTGATGTGGCAGGGACCACAGTCCCCAGGGCACACAATCGATGGTGTCCTGACACTTTGGCCTCAATGACCTTGGAGAAGTCACCTAGTTTCCACATCTTCGGGTGCTGGGGTCCCCAGGTCAAGCGTTCTTCCTGAGAGTGCAGCCTCCTAGCCATCTCATCAGGGTGCTGTGGTCAGGTTGGGATTAGTCTGCAGGAAAGGGGTGAAGCTTTAGGGGGAAGGAGTATTGAGACTAAGCCCTTGGGTGTTTGTTCAGGCACACTCCACTCTAATTCACAGCCTAGAAAGCCAATACTTCCTTCGGCTCTGGTTGCCTGAGCAATCATTTGGGTGTGGAAAAGTGCTGCCGCCTTGTGGACATTTTCTGTAACTACAACTTGTCCACCTGCCCTTACCATTACCTCGGATTCACCAGACCTCGGGGGCTGTTAACCAACAGCTGCCTTCAGGAAAGGTCCTGGGCTGAGTATTGCAGAAAAATTACAAACCCGACTGACTTTCAAAAAAGTCAACTACAACTGGTAAATCTTCCTCACAACGATGAAGGAGAAAAGAAAAAAGAAAAAAACTTACTGCCACAGGACAAGATGCTGAGCATCCCTAATTATTACAGGAAAAATGACAACCAAAATGACAATGAGAAACCAAATCTCACCAGATTGGCCACCCTCACAAGTCTACAAACAATAAACGTGAGCTAAGCCTACCATGCGACATTTGCACACATTGGCCTATATCCCAAGAAAACCATCTTTCAAGAGGCCACGTGCACCCCAATGTTCACCTCAGCACTAGCTAAAATAGCCTGAACACAGACCCAGGGGAATGTCCACCTTCAGATTAAAGTTTAAATACAGAAAATGATGTGGTACATACAGAAAATGAACTATTACTGAGCCAAGAAGA